TCAATAAGGAATGCTATTATTATCATCACATGGATACAGCTAATGCTAGTCACCTAGATGATACCTTCTCTATCTTAATAAAAGTGTTGTATAAAAACCTCAATTGATGGATAGTACTGAAAATGTGATTGAATCATACGGATACCCAAGAATGTACGGGAATAACTGTTTCTCTTTAAACATATGTTTTAAACAAATGTCTACATACAAAGTAATAAACATAAAAGGATGATTGATCTAAAAGTTCACAGCTACTTACAACATTCCCATCTCTAATGCCTACTGAAAAAGCAAGTTTGGAAGGGACTTTTTCAAAGCCAGATTAGTGGCCATCCCAATCTCCTAGGGGAATGCTATTCCATAGAAAAAGGGGCAACTGGAAAAAAAAACCTGTCTCCAATCCTGAGAATTACATTACTTATTCACTGGAGTTTTTAAAGAAGAGATTGGACAACAATTTGTCTGAAATGTTATAGGGTTTCTTGCTTAAGCAGGAGATTGGACTAGAAGACCTCCAAAGTCCCTTCCAACTCTTGTTACTCTATTATTCTGGAATTGATGAGCTCTTCAGAGGGAAAAAGAGAGGGACAAGAAATTTAAAGGAAAAAAAACTCACCTTACAGTATGAATTGACATATGAGTGTGGTGTAAGTAAGCTTTGCTTAAAAATTGAATCCATATGGGGAGTTACAACAAATGGAGTGTGTACAATATAGTTTCCTTTTCTTTTTCTAAGGTCATCCTTTTTGTTGTCTTACTCTGTTTCTGTGATCTGTAAACATTTACTCCAAAAAAGAACAGCATATTATATATTATATATGCTTTGAAATAATGTGGTTAAGGGATGGGAAAAGTTTTGATAACTATTCAAAGTTACATTAAAAATAACTTTAGAAAATGTACACCTGCCTTATTTGGAACTCTGTAGAAATCTCGAAATTTGGTTTGCCTGTTTTGGCAAAATATCCCAAGATATACAGTGTGTATTATGAAACAAGGTTCACTGAGACTACGTGTAAAATTTTGTGTGGGATTTGGGAAACTGAAACCAATTTCTTTCCATGTTCTTGGTGAACTGAAGCTAAAGCTTTAAGACTAAATCTGATCAGACTATTCCAGGATTAATGGAGAGAGAAAGTTGGCGAACCATTGCAAACCAAGAAAGTTATTTTGATTTTTCAGGGTCTTAAATTTTAATTTCTGCATAATTCAAAGTACTCCTTAGCCAAGGAAAACTTAAACAGATTTTGCATCATCTTGCAGCAATAGTACAAACAACCATAAAGCCTTGAGAATAGAAAAAGAAGACTGATTCCAGCTGGATCATGGCTTTAAGGGACTAAATGCTACCAAAAGGTTTGCTTAATAGTTACATAATGAATTTCTCGTCTATATAGCATAAGTTCCCACCTTGTCAGCTTTACCTCTTACCATTATTACGTATACAGTGGATGAATGCAACTGATTTTTAGAGGCATTAAGACAAGTAGCAAGCACATTTGTTTTATTATCAACTCACTGAATATTTTCAAAAAGCCACTATTAATAATGCTGGAAGCTGGGCCTAATTAAATGCACTTTGTCCATTTTCTTTGTCATAAAAATATGCCATAAAAAAAATTGAAGAAATGACATTTTTTAAAAATTCCTAGCTTGAATTAACTGACAATTATTTACTCTGTTGAAAGCTAATTTACTGTATTAACAAATTCCCTAAACGTAGAAAAAGTAGTTGCTATGCAACTATGGAATGTCTGGGTTATGTTGAACAATATATGTGATATCTTCTACTTAAAGTGATAATGAACACGACTGCCATCATCATCCTGAAAAGTGATGCAATTGGCAATGGTGCTTTTGGTCACCTGAGGCTGAAGAAAAGTAAAACGCTGTTGTTGGAAACCTGAAGTTGTTGGACACTGAAAGACACTCCAGAAATTTTTTTGGAAGGTCTTCTCTGGCCTTCTGGATTGAGAAGCCCATGAAAGAATCATTTTCCAAACTACTGTCTACTTGCAAGTTGTTTCATAATACTATCAGACACAGCCTTACAAAGAAAACAATGCAAATGATGAAAATATATATCAATCACCATTTAAAGTTAGTGCTAAAATTATACTTACTTTTCCATAGCTCAGCAGGATGATTCGTACTAGGACAACGTTAATATGGGCACCTAAAGACTCATCGTGATAGATTTCATTAACCTACAACAGAACATGAAAATATCCATGTAACATGACAATAGTGGGGATAAAGCCATATGTTAAAAACCTTTAATTCCAACTCTACTTAATAATAGCATATTTACCTAGCCATCAAGCTGCAACACTGTATAAAATTATTGGAAATAAAATGCTAGCTGTGACTTTTTGAAATATTGTTTTATTTCCCCGACATCAGAAAAGAACATGAAGGATTATTGCTAAGGCAGAAAAGAAAAAAAAGCATCTTTCTTATGCTTAGGTTATAATTTGTATTTACTTATTAGTTAAGGAAACTTTCCTATTCAATTAGTTCTTGGTATGAATAGTGATACAAAACTATAAAAAAATGTGACAGTGATATTTAAGATTTACCTGCCTCATAAGTTTATGGATTGTAAAGTCATTGTACCTTGTCACGTTTCTGAATAGCAATAGCACTTAGACTTATATACTGCTTCATAGTGCTTTCTAGGCAGATAAGAGAGTCAGCATATTGCCCCCAACAATCTGGGTCCTCATTTTACCAACCTCAGAAGAATGGAAGGCTGAGTCAACCCTGAACTACTTAGAATTGAACTCCAGGAGTGAGCAGTGAAATAGCCTGCAGTCTAACCACTAAGAGGTTAGCCTGCAGTCTAACCACTAAGAAACCATGGCTCTGTTATCAATGGTATAAGAGAAGAGATACAACCATTCTTGCCTAATACCAGCTTTCTTAGAAGACGCAGACTGAATGGGTGCCTTTGACTGCCTTTGCCTCTCATCCTATAGAGTTTTAGCATCATGTACATACTATGAAATGTTTGAATAAACCTAGAAGTATGCTTTATCTTAGTGAACAAAGATATAAACCATTCTGCGACTCAATCATATTTTTGTTAACATAGCTGTGAGATGTGTTTGTTTGTTTATTATTTTTTAAGATTAAAATTAAGTATCTCTGAGAACTGCCAAGTCTTCACAAATCCCTTCCTCACAAACAAGGTTCTCTATCACAGTGGAAAATGATGTATACATTGATTGATTGTGTGTCATCAAATCAGTGTCAGCTCTTATTGACCGCATAGATAGACTGTTTCTAAGATAGCATATACCTAACATGTCTTTTGGGTCT